ACCTTCCTACAGTTAGGATCGTCTCAAATCTCCCAATTGGTCAAACCTTCTTACAGTTAGGACCACAGTCAAAATCCCCTCTCGATTCTCCCAATGAACGAGAGGTCCACAAATCAAGCGATCAAACCTTCCTACAGTTAGGATCGTCTTAAACCTTCCATTCGGTCAAACCTTTCTACAGTTAGGACCAAAACCAAAAACCCCTCTCGATTCCTCCAATGAACGAGAGGTCCACTTTCAAATCGAGTGATCAAACCTTCTACAGTTAGGATCGTCTTAAAATTCCCAATTGGTCAAACCTTCCTACAGTTAGGACCACAACCAAAATCTCCTCTCGATTCCTCCAATGAACGAGAGGTCCACTTTCAAATCGAGCGATCAAACATTCCTACAGTTAGGATCGTCTCAAATCTCCCAATTGGTCAAACCTTTCTACAGTTAGGACCACAGTCAAAATCCCCTCTCGATTCCCCCAATGAATGAGAGGTCCACAAATCAAGCGATCAAACCTTTCTACAGTTAGGATCGTCTTAAAATTCCCAATTGGTCAAACCTTCCTACAGTTAGGACCACAACCAAAATCTCCTCTCGATTCCTCCAATGAACGAGAGGTCCACTTTCAAATCGAGCGATCAAACCTTCCTACAGTTAGGATCGTCTCAAATTCTCCCAATGAACGAGAGGTCCACAAATCAAGCGATCAAACCTTCCTACAGTTAGGATCGTCTTAAACCTTCCATTCGGTCAAACCTTTCTACAGTTAGGACCAAAACCAAAATCCCCTCTCGATTCCTCCAATGAACGAGAGGTCCACTTTCAAATCGAGTGATCAAACCTTCCAACAGTTAGGGTCACCTCAAACTCCTGTTTGGCCAAACCTTCCTACAGTTAGGGTCAAAACCATAATTCACTCTCAATAAACGAGAAATTCATCTTTAGTTCTCAAAACCATAATTCACTCTCGATAAACGAGAAATTCATCTTTAGTTCGGTAATCAAACCTTCCGACAGTTAGGGTTATCCGAATCTTTTCGATTCTCGGAGTGGAGATCCCACTCTCAGTCTCACCTTTCCGGATTCTGGGGGTGGAGATCCACCTCGAGTCTCCTTTCCAATTGAAGAGAGAATATAAAATTCTTCTTCTTCATTTTCGGGAGATAGAATATAAAATTCTTCCTCTCCCATTTCGGGTTCGTCTTTGCCCCAAGAGAAGACACCACCTTTTTTAACTCTCAAAATCTGTGCCTCACAGGTACAGGGAATTTTATCCCGAATCCTAAGTAGGGATAAGTCAAACGCCTAACACGCGTTGCCGGTTTAGTCTTTCACCGATTGAAGAAGACAATAGAATTCCAGTTTAGGAAGTTTATCCCGAATCCTAAGCAGGGATAAGTCTGCGCCTAACACGCGCTGCCGGTTTAGTCTTTTTCCGTACAAAAAGACACCAGAGTTCGATTCTGGGGTATTCTATCCTGAAACCTAAGCAAGGATAAGTCTGCGCTTAACCCGCGCTGCCGGTTAGTTCCTAACCGTTAAAAAGAACACTCGTCCGCATATTCAACATTGCGGCAGGTTGTTATTAATAACACCAAAATCCATGCCTTACACGCATGGGGAATTTCATCCTGAATCCTAAGAAAGGATATGCCGACGCCTAACACGCGTCGCCGGTTTAGTCTTTTACCGATTGAAAAAGACACCAGAATACCAGTCTGGGGTATTTTTATCCCGAAGCCTAAGTAGGGATAAGTCAGCATCTAATACACGTTGCGTCTAAGAGAATTCACTCTCTTAGCACAACGTTACATGCGGAACGGATTTCGTCAATCCGCATGCTAGCCCGACTCAAACGGTAGTCGGTAAAGGCTAATCAAATCCGTTAAAGGCTTGGGGTTAGCCAAAAATCCTAAAGTCAACGCCTAACACGCGTCGCCGGGTAGTCTATTCCCGTGAGAAAGACGAAGTCTACGTATTCGAAGTCGTAGCATCAAGTCTAAGGGAGTTCATTCCTTTAGCACAACGTCACATGCGGAACGGACTTAAGACAATCCGCATGTAAGCCCGATTCAAACGGTAATCGGTAAAAGCATGACAAATCCGTTGAGGGCTGAGGATTTGCCAAAAATCCTAAGTCAACGTCTGATACACGTTGCTGTTTAGTCTTTTCACAGGAGAAAGACGAAGTCTACGTATTCAATATCGTAGCACTAAAAGAGTTAACTCTTTTAGCATAACGTCACATGCGGAACGGACTTAAAACAATCCGCATGCTAGCCCGACTCAAACGGTAGTCGGTAAAGGCGCATCAAACCCGTTGATGGCTGAGGATTTGCCAAAAATCCTATAAATATGCGAGTCATTGACGCATCAACTTTATGAGTTGGTCTCGTGACTCGAGCATCCAACGACCTTGGGATAAGATCCATGCTCCAATTCCTTAAGAGCTTAAACCGTGTGTACTCCAGCAGACGTACGAGTATAAACTGTGTCAAATGCCGAACAGTGCATCATAATGAAGCCTGGACGCCGGACAACGCGTCGCAATGAAGCTCAAACGCCAGACAACGCGTTATAGATGAAGATTCAACGCAGTCAATCGATGATAAGTTCTGTGTTGAAGCAGCAAACTCGAGCCAAAAAGTCAAGAAATCAAGAATCGACTTCAAGTTCAAATTCCAACAACGGTCAGACAATAAATGCAGCACCGGAACCCCTACAGGCATTCTACAAAGCACTGAATAGCCTGAAGGAATTGAAGGAATCCAGAACAGAAGTCATTCCAGAGTCCCGTTACACCGACTGAAGGTTGGGACAATCACATCCAAAGTATTCCAGACTCTTCTATAAAAGAATGAGACTGAAATACTTTGGAGGGGGTATCTGTAGGCGTATAAAATTGCCTATAGGTCCCTTAGCACAGCTCGACGCCGATTTAACAAACGGACCACCGGGCGACGTATCCAAACAAGACCGTTAGCTCGCCAACGCTGAAGCCAAGCTATACGCAACGGAGCAGGTTAACGAGGCGACAAATCGCACCCAAGCATTGGAATGCATCCACTCGCACGCGGAATCAAACCAATGTTTAGGTGAATCACCGAGTCATCTAAACAAGAGCGAACTCGGATGAATCACGATCAAATCAACATCAATTCCGGACTCAAATTCAGAAGTTGGTTTACTGCCATATCAGGAACCCGACTCACTGCCAAATCTGGAATCAAGTCAAAGAGTCGTTGCCAAGTCAATCAACCACACAAGAGAACCAGAACCGGAAACAAAGGACGAAACGGACAAACACCCGGGGACTCGGCCGAAACCGAACCACCCCAGGGTGGCTCGGCCCAAGCCGAGCCACCCTGAGGTGGCTCGGCCAAGGCCGAGCCACCCATGGGTGGCTAGGCTCAGAACTGTGCGCGGGCACAGTTCTGAGTGCCTATAAATAGGCCTTGTGCTCATTTGTTTCAGAGGTTGGAAATTTTGGAGAGAGGCGAAGCCCTGCTGGATTGAAGACTCAGATCCAGGGTGGCTCGGCCCAGAGCCGAGCCACCCTGAGGTGGCCGGCCCAGATCTGTGCCTAGGCACAGATCTGAGTGCCTATAAATAGGCTAGGCCTTGGTTCATTTTTGAGGGTTGGAAATTTTGGAGAGAGGCGAAGCCCTGCTGGATTGGAGACTCGGAACTTAAAAAAGATTAAAACTTTGGGACTTCGGGGACTCACTCCTTCAGATCTGGTGCTCGGCGACCATCAACGTCAAATAAGGCAGGTGTTCGAGAGGATCAGATCTCAGATCTACGCAGGCATACTCCGGATCTAAGCTTGGTCTTAGATCCCGAGACTTGGACGATTGTTTCCTTGGTGAAGCAATCCTCCCCGGCTATTATTTCCTTGGTGAAATAATACCCGTCGTACTGCGTAGATCCGACCGAATCTAGATCTCGCGGTGGTCCACGGCAAACAACCCCGGCGCAGGCAAAGAACCCACCAAGCGAGCGACCGCAAAACAGGAGCTCGCGATTCGTTCGACATAAAGGAGAAAAGTTGTAATCTTTTTTATTTTTATTTGATTTTCGTTGTAACCGGATCTTATAAAAAGACCGGATCTTTTGTAACTCAAAAAGTTGTAACTCAAGATGACAATGGAATCAATAACAAAGAAAGCAACGAATTTCCCCGCGAACAGTGCAAAGTAGGAGAAACTATACAGTACTTATGCGCAATCTATATACTATTACTAAAAGTTGTTACCCTTCAATTCGCCACTTGGCAAAAATGCCACTTGGCAAAAATGGCTCATACCATTTTAAACAACACTTGACAAACATATCAATTGCTATCTTCTTACAAGTGACACTTGTCAAGTTTCTACAAAAGTTCTCCATATTAAATTTGAAATAAAAAATAAAAAAAATAAAAAGTTCTCCTTGAGATTTGAACTAACTCTCCCTGCCTTTTCAATTTTCCAAACAAGATACTTCATAAACTGTTTGAACGCTTTGTAAACTGTTTGAACTGTTTGTATTCTTTTGCTACATCAATTTTTGTATATGAAAAATTCTTTAAGGACCCAAAATATAGGACCAATAGAGGGGACAAGTGAGGTGTCCCCCTCCTATTGGATAATGAGTTGGCTATCATTAATGATAGCTAACTCATTATCCAATAGGAGGGGGACACCTCACTTGTCCCCTCTATTGGTCCCATATTTTGGGTCCCTGTAGCAAAGCTCTTTGTATATTAAACAAATCCGTGCATCGCACGGGCCTGAAACTAGTTAAGCCTATAAATGCACACCCTAATTTGCCGCCCATGCGCTCAAGGGAACCGTTGAAATTTTCAGAAAATAGAAAGGCTCTCCTCTAACGAAACGCACAGGGCAAACCCCTAGATTTCGTTCCCTCCAAATCGAATGAACAAAATCCCTAAAAGTTCCATTTTTTTTTTCATAATGTCTCTCCTCTCCTCCTCCTCCACCTCTGACGACGCGGCGGAGCTGCCTGCGACCACGACGGCGACTCCTGCATCGCCCGCGCCATTGGAAACCTATGCCAGAACTTCCTCCTCTCCTATGGGGTTAGGGTAGGGACCGGGATCCTACTAGTTTGAGCTTTCAAGCTCGCCAAGCGTGGGTCTTACTCGTCCATCCTCGATCTCAAGGTCAGCGTTTCGATTCTCGTCGTCAATTCTATATTATATCAATCAATTGAAAATAAATTATAGTATTGTATCATTGAAGTTGTCATATTTAGCAGGGCAATTATTATTAAAAAAAACCCAGACCCATCAAGTTGTGTTGCGCATGACAAAGAAAAGATCTTTTCTTTGAGAACAAAAACCAATAATATCCTTCGACGCAATTGAAAACTTCTATGTTAACGAAGCAAAGCACGAGAGTAACTTAAAAAAGACCAGCCAACAACCAATTTCTCCACTATACATCACAACAAACTTTAAAATTGCACCAAAGAAACCCGCATCAAGGGGTTAGAAAAGACTTGAACTTTGCTCAGTTCAGAGTGCTGCGGTAGTAGGTGGTCTTCTCTTTGGTTTGATGTGAAGAAAGGAGACGGCGGGTTTGTAATACTTTGAGGAAGAAGAAGAGGGTTATTTAGGGATATTTGAGAGGGAAAAAACATGTATGTGGCTTGTGCATGTTGTTTCAAAGGAATTTTAACAATATTTTTTTTGAAAAAAATGGCTATTTAATAAAAAGATAATGCTAGGGGGTTTCCTAATAAATGACCAAATTATGAAAAGTTTTATAATAGTTACCGTATTTGATATCAGATAATGTTACTAGGTAAATTTCACAGAACTTATTTGGATTTTTAGGAGGGTTTTCAAATACTTTAAACTTCTTTTATTAAAAAAATATCATGAACTTTGTATCTTTTAAAAAAACGCACGAACTATTGCAAATGTTTCTGAAAGCGTTTACATTTTGGTTAAAAGGTCTAAACTACCCTTATTAATATGTGTTCACTATCCCGAAAACCCGGAAAATTTGAAAAATACATAAGGGCAAATCGTCCAAAATATTTCGGCATGCCAAAAACAAGAAACAATATTGAAATTATATTGTTTTGCAGAAAGCCTTACAATATGATATATTGACCGATATTGAAAACAATGTTATATGTGCATATGTGTGGATTTGAAATCAAATCTTACAAAATGGTGATTGTGATTTTCAAAATCATAACAAATTTGCAGTCATCACAAATTTTGAATAGCATTCTCTATTTCTATGATTTGTGATTGTTTCCACAACAATAAATTTGATATCTAGAAGAGAACTTTTCCAATTGAGCATTAACCAAGTGTGAAGTGGGTTATGCAATATTTCTAATTGAACAACTAAATAGTTTCTCCTCTGTAATGGTACAGAAAATTGGTTCGTAAATTGAAGAAATGAGTGTATACTGAACATTGTTTGTGTCTTCCATATCTAGAATTTGAATGACTAGCCATGCAGAACTTGGCTCTTGTTGTCAATGCGTGACCCCTGTGAAGATTTTTATAGAATTCATGTAACAAAACACACTAGAACAACCAACCTTGTAATGGATGATTAAATCACACCCTTTCTTTTCATGTACACTTCTGTCAGTCGAGCAAATTAATGCATATGTAATTGCATCCCTGTGCAAGTTACCCATCCAGCAAGCTGGTTTTGAATTTATTTTAGTATTTCATGCATTTTCCTGCACAAATGTCTACTAGTTTCGAAAGTTAAAGGAACCACAGCTTGCAGTCTAATCTATGTTGTGTAAGTATCTTATGGTAATGCATGTTTAAACACTTTTTCCTGGTATTCTCACTTATTTTGATAAATCCAATGTCATTTATTGTAGAACCATAATTGCATTAAAAACATTATGAACTCCACTGACCACAGAAAGGACTGAAATAGTTTATTTACTCCTTTTCTATGTTTTTATCATTCCTTAATTTACAGCAACTTTTTCGGAGAGGGATTTGATAGTAAGAGAAGAAGCATGCCGTGTTGGGTTATTTTTTGGTGGTTTTACTAGATCTTATCATGTTTTGAGATGTCTTTTAAGAAAGTCGCGGAAGAAAGGGGCGCCATTAAATGCGCAAGTTCATAGACCATTGGATGTTCAACTGTATTACTTTGTCTGATTGTTTGCTTCATGAAAATTCCATCTTTTTCCTTCCTTGTCTCTCCCTCCCTCCCTCCCTCCCTCTCTCCTTCCCCTCCTGCCTGCCTTTCTCTTCACGCCTCTGCATGTAGTAAAAATTGACTTGTCTTAACTTCTGATTCATGCAGTGTAATCTTAACTTATTATTAATATTTGTTTTATTCCCACATCCATGACTTAATTGAAGGTTTTGATGGAGCAGCATTTTAGCAGGTTCAGTTGCAGGCTTGTCTATATTGTCCTTAGATGATTCAAGTCAAAGACGCACTCTTGCTTTACATGTGTTAACTAGGCTTGGTCAGGTCTGGAAATCTTTTTATTTATGGCTAAGTATGATTGTGATAATTTGTCCTTTTGCTCTTCAAGTAGTAATTATCGTTATTTATATCATTGCAGTGTGCATATAATTCTGCAAAGGCAAAGAATAAGTTTCATCTTCGGGAAGCCATTGGAGGCATGGAGATTCTTTACTCTTTTCCTTGGCATGTGCTCAGGTTGCTAAATTTCTAGCCTTTGCATTTATGACCATTGACATTGTTGCAAATAATATAATGGATGGTCATAAATGTTTTATTTGTAAGATCCGGTTTACTCCGAGTATGTATACTTATGTTCTCAACCTTTTTGTTAGATTTTCCCTTTCAAGAAAGTATATTTTGTTCATTTTCACTGTTCAGCATCACTTTCTCTGACTTTTTGCCATCGACAGTGACGACTTTCTCTGATTTTGTGCCTGGAAAAAATCCGCTTTCTACAATTTAATAAATACCAAATATAAATATCAGAATAGCTGGTATAGTCATTATTCAAGGGGTCAGGTCCACTTACCTTTTTTATTTATAATTTTATGGTGGATTTGGTATGCTTGCCCCAAGAGGGCATAGGCCCTAGTAATCAAAATTCATGCTGCTAAACCCACTTCTCTAGAAATCAGCAAACTTTCATTTACTAGAGGGCGTTGGCAATTTAGCCACTCATATTTGGTATTATGTTGCCAGGCTGTAGTTTAAACGTGACAGATTATTTGGATTCCCTTGAAACTACATATTCCATTTAATGATAAAGGCGATAATATATACATCTCATGAAGCCTTCTGGTTTCCCATGTGGATCTCATTGAAAGTACGCATTCCTTAAAAGAAAAAGGTAATATACTTCCAATATAGTCTCGTTGGTTAAGGCCTTGGGGATTCTATAAAAGTTGGAAGCAAATAGGTTCTTACAACTTATGTATATTAATTATTTATAGACAAAAAGAAGATCATGTTTGAAGTTACTCGCTGCGGTCAATTTTCACACTATCTTTCTCAATGATTGTTGGTACCTCTATTTGAGAAGGGAAACAAAACCTTTTCACAACTTTTCAGGGGAAAATATGCCTATAATGGCTCTGCAGTGTACAGACCAAATGTAAACGCATTTGGCTGCAAAAGAGTTGATATAGAGTAGTAGATGACATAGAATAGTAGCCGTTCTTCTGTTGACTCCCACAAAACGATAGATCATTCTTACTTCTCGTTTTTCTTTTTATTGGTGGGATATTGTTTTCGCTTGTTTGGTTAACTGCTCTATTTTATTAGGTTGTGTGAAAGTGGGAACTAGAGTCTCTGATGCTGTTTCTTTCCATTTACTCCTTACTTTTCTGTAATTTGCTGCCTTTACGCTTGTTTTATATTTTCTCTTAGCATGGTGTTGCATTCCTACATTGGAAGACTTTTTTTTTTAATTTAATGTGATTCTAACCTAAAAAAAATTGATTTTATCTCTATACATTTACGATTGACATATACACTATTCATTGAAAAGGGAAATTGTTGTTTTGATGTTTAAAGAAAGGAGTACATCTAGAGCTGTTTTAGGGGATTATAAGCAAGACATGTCACTGAACTGACATTAGGATAAATGACTTTTGGGTGAAAAGTATGAATCCTCTTTCAGCTCCAATCAGCATCGTTTTGACACATGTCTGGTTATGGTAAAAGCTCATTGAATATCTGATATGTTGTCCCCCGTTGATTTACATGACTGGTGTTTGGGTAGTTTGTATTATAAGAAATAAAATTTTCGATTGACGCACAATGCAGTTTTCTAATTTAGTTTCGGCATTCTGGGTCTTATCCTTCTGTGCACACTGTGTCTTTTCTAATCTAAGTTTAATTGTGAGCATAAGTTAATTCTTTATGCTCGTGAGAGGAAACAAAAAAATTTGTCATCAAAGATACCATGAGAAATCATTTAGTGCAAAGCTCAAGGCTTCCGAAAATCATCAATGTCTTCTGTAGAACACACTGATTAGGCTGAGACAGTCTGTACTATCTTGTTCAGGGGATTTCTGAGGTGACAAGGTCTAGATGCTGAGTTGCGGAGAAGCAAAGTTAAGTTGGCCCTTAGCAGAACATACCTTCCAGAGAAGTAGAATCAGATACCAGTGTATTCATACATGTTGTGTTGCTTATTTTACGGTTTCTGAAGTGCACCAGCGGCCTCTGGTGTACATGATTTAACCATCTTAATAGAGTATCTCACATTTTATTCTCAATAACCACAAGATCTAGCTTCCTATGAGTGTGCTCATTTCTTATCCTATTTTCAGTGTATGTCCACACATTTCTTAAAACATTCTCATTTCTGCTGCAGTCTTTTTGGCACATGTTTCATAACTGTCCAACATACTAAACCAGCTACCTTGTGTATTTAATACATATATCCAGTTATTGGAATCTCCTACTCGTACTTCTTGGTGTTCCGTTCTCGGTGCGGTTTGCTCAACAATGTTTTTGTCTGCTTTTGCTGGAATATTTCAGGTATTATTTCCTATCTGAGTCGATTCGTTACATAATACCTATTGTTTCTGATGTTAGTTTCGGTGGTCCTCTATGTTTACATCGAAAGGTGGCAGCTAAAGATCACAAATCTTTGTATTGGGCTGCTGGCGGGATATCTGCTCTTTCTGTACTTCTGGAAAAAAAAGGCTAGAAGATCTGAATTGGCCCTCTATGTTCTTCCACGAGCTGGAGATTCTTTGTGGTACATCTTAGCGAATCGCCACATACTTCCAAATGTAAAACATGCTGAGGTATGATTTGTTCCTTTAAACTCTCTCCAATATGTTTTGCGATTTTGCTTGCTGTGGGTCAGATCTAATCTTGCCCAAGGTATACACAATGAAACTTGTTTCTTCTATTATTTTTATCATTGCATTTTGCTTATTGCATATGATTTAGGTTATGATTTTTAGGACAGTTTCCTGTGGATTATAATGTTGAAAGGGCAGGTTCTTCTGAATTATGATATTGAGCCCTGCTTCTTCAAGTTCTATTTCTGCTTGACCACCCCGATGGTTGGGGATTTGGTTAGAATTCGTGCTCGGAGCCCCAGCAAAAGTATAAATTTGTTAAGCTTGGTTTCACATAGCATATTTGTTTCATGGATGCCATATAAATAACACTAAAAGACTGGCTCTTAAAGTAGTGTTCGATGTTCAACTAGGAAATCTTCATCAATACAATACTCCTGCAGTGCAGAACCAGTGACGGGGGTTTCCTAGGAAACAAATGACCACCCTTCTTTCCATCGCTTCTAGCATGAATCTGTAAACATTCCTCTAAAAATTGAATTCTCAGATACAATTCTTTACAACATTTTGGAGTTGACGATTCATCACTAAAATATACCACCAATCCAGGATATTATCTGAGTAAGGATGAGTGAATAATATTCTAGGTTCATCGGGATGGATATGACACAATATGTTGCAAGAATATGGGACATCTGGAGACGGATACATCAAACAAGAAAATTGTACATGCATATGCCTGTACTTAAAAGTCCTAAAATTTTAAATATATATAGCATGAGCGAACATCGTTGAAAGAGAACAATACCTCAGATATGAAACATTTAAAACTATAAATATGATGCATCTACTCATGAACTTATATGTTTTAAACCCATCATCAATTTGTTTAAGTGCAGTCGGATACTCGGATACAGGTGAGGGTATATCAGTGCAAACTTTGGTAAAATATAAGGTATTTAACGGCAAACAAGCCCTGTTTTAATTGCCTGGTTGTCTGGTCAATGTCATGACTCATGATTATGATCACCACCTAAGCCTTTCCCATCAAAGTAGGCTATAACAGAACAAGGCTTCGTGAAAGATTTATGACTGGTTGACGACTTTACATCTGACACTCTTTAACTGACAGCAGTATCCTGGCTAAGAAAATTATGACATGACTGCTTTTAACACTGAATACCTGGCTGTGTCCTCCAAATCCTCCTAGTCTTGGGGGGAAATGTAGAAGGAAAGAAAGATGATAGGATTTTCTCTTTCTCCAAACCTTAAGAAGGGAGTCTCTCATTAATTAAAACAATGCTACTGTGGCTTTGCTCTCCTGTTGACAGCCAGTAATGGCTCATGTGGTAAGCGGGAATAGGTTGGAATGGAATGTCTGTTCTCACTTCCGCTACCTGTGTACCGAACACTAGAGCATTTTGTGAGAATGAGCATTCTGAGAGAAAAGTTAGGAATCATGATTCTCGCTTTAGTGATAACAAATCAATAAAATGAAACTTTGACATTCCAAATTTACAGCAGCAGCGAAGTCAGCCACTACTGGCAACGTCACTAATGCAAATTTCTTGTCTCGGTGGTGATAGCTGTCACTAGCAATGACGACCAATGTCAACGATATTGACGTCCAACCGAATTTTTTTCCCCGCTTCATTCCCTTATGGTACCCAAACATGAGAATGAGAATGGGCATTCTATTCTCATGTTTATTCTATTTCATTACTTGCTTCATTCCATTCTCGCTGGACTCAGTTCAAGTTTTTGATGCCTGTAGTCAAGTCATTCCAACAACTAGAATAATACATAGAGGCAAATGACCACCATCTTTCCTTCAGCGACCTTGATGTATAGGCACTTGTCAGATTCACTGACTTGATACCCATTGTTGCGAACAACCCCATCGAACTTCTCATGTCAGAGTTTTGGTGCCTGCTTAAGTCCATATAGAGACTTAACAAGTTTACAAACTTTACCAGTTGGAGCATCAAGTCATTCTGGTTTCTCCATGTAGATCTCTTCTTCGAGATCTCCATTAAGAAAGATAGTCTTCACATCCATCTGATGTATGATGAACCTTTTAATCGCCGCTCATGCGATAAGCACTCTAATAGTAGTGATCCTGCAAATTAGTGCATAGATATCAAAGAAATCTATACATTCTTTCTAAGAGAATCCTTTCGTCGTCAGTCTTTCTTTGTATTTTTTAATAGTACCATCAGGATGAAGCTTCTTCTTGAAGTTTCACTTGCAACTGATAGGCCTTGTACCTTCAGGTACATCCACCAGCTCCCAAGTGTAATTTTGGATCAATGAATCCATCCCATTATCTATAACTTCTTTTCACAGAAAAACATCTGTTGACTGCATTGATTCTTGGCAAGTTTGTGGATCTCCTTCCATATTATAGATGATGAAGCCATCTCCAAAATCTTTCTATCTCCTAACGCGCTTGGAAGATGGTTCGGTAACTCCATCATTGACACTTTCGGTTTCTTGTGAAACTGGCTCCTCTTGTGCATCTGACGTACTAGCATTCTCTGCTATATCTTTGAGCAATAAGCATTTATCTTTGATAAACTTATCCTTAAAAAATTCTACATCCCAAGCTTCAATGATGGAGTTGGTTCCAAGGTTCAGGAACCTGCACGCATTGCTATCTCCAGCAAAGCCAAGAAATACACATTTGTACCTTTGGTCCGAGCTTAGGCCTTTTGAAATCTGGAACTCGAACATATGCGAGACACCCCCACACTTTGAGATTATCCAAAAAATCTGGCTATCCTAACCATAACTGATGAGGAGTATTATTAATTTTGGAATAGGGTATTTTGTTCAGAATCCAGTTTGTCATCAATAAAGCCTCTCCTCAATAGCAGGTAGGTAAACCAGATGTGATTAGCATCGAATTCACCATCTCGGTCAATGTGCGATTCTTCCTTTCTGCAATCCCATTAGATTGCGAAGAATACAGAGCAATAGTTTCAGCAATGATTTCATACGAAGTATGCTTCCGACTCCTTAGATCAGTACTCTCCTCCTTGATAAACACATAAAATATGCATTATCTTAGTGTTTCAAGTATGATTTATAGGTGTTTGATGCATATTTTGTGTTTAGATCGAGGATACTGCAGTGGTTTGTGTTCTTATATGTAGTTATTGGCTCAAGATTAAAAGATTCGATGATCGTTGGGAGTTAAACAAGAGTTTGAAGCAACAACCGGACTTAGGATGCATGGTTCAAGAAGAAAATGGATGCACGAGCATGAAGAACTAGAATTTAGACCATGATGCAATTTGAATCCAGAAAAGCTCAAAGAAAAAAGTTGTAGATCTCTTCGACAGCTTTCCAATGCAATTTGAATCACCTCATTCTGAGGTCGGACGAAAAAGTTATAGCCAAAATACCAAAGACTGTGCAAACAAGCACAAAATGAGCAAGACAGATTCCACCACACCCGTGGCACAGGCCTTATCTTTTTTTCAGATTTTTTGGGGACATATAAATAGATATTTTGGCTTAGAGTTTAGATATCTTTTGTTATGTTCTCTTAGCTGTCAATTAGCAATTATTTTAGAGTTCAAGTATTGAAGCAAGACATTAATTTCTTGTACAATATTGGATTACAAGTTCTTATTTTGAAGATTTCAATTAAAAGACATGTTAATTTTTTTCTCTCTTTAATTTATTTCTTCTTATCATTGATTTGCATAATTATTTGATGTATTCTCTTATCCCAATCATGTGTGAGTAGATTCTTTGCCTAGGATTGGGAAAGAACCCAACTTTTTGGTGATTGATGATGAATTAATATAGGTTCTTGGTGAAAGTTTAAATATTTAAAATTAATTTCTTGTGTTTTAATTTTGTTGATTCGCTTGATCATTAGCAATCATAGGTAATTAATTGAAGGACTTAAAGGTGGAGATTAATACCGAACCTCTAGATATTAAGCTGGGAACTCGAATCACGAAAGTAGTCTAGATTGCTTGAGGATTTGATTTGGATTAGCATAAAGCTTAATGGGTTTAATTTAATCTTGATTCCATAAAAGTAGTTTGATTAAGATTAATTAGGCACGATCTTTAGACCTTGAAGGAGGCTTTAGATTAATTTAGGCTAATTCACCATTTCTAGTTTAAACCAATACTGAGAACTGAAATAATTCTTCATTGAGCATCGAAGTTGTGGTGAAAACTCAATCCTGGTCCTTCATTATATTGAATTCCACCTGATTAGCTATTTATTTTATTTCTTTTAATTCTTATCTCTTCTAATTTACTCATTAGTTTAGCTAGTCAAATAACGTAAAATTTGGTAATTAACCCCTAGTCCCTGTGGGATCGACCTTGATAGCTACAACGAGTCTGTGCACTTGCAGATTTTTCCTATCAAGTTTTTGGCGCCGTTGCCGAGGACTACGATGTTAATATTAAGTGCTTACGTTATTAAGCTAGACTAGATTTTTTTTATATTCTCTTCGCTACTCGCTTTCTTTTATGCAAGGGCATCAAATAGAAGCACACAACGAAAACAATCCTGAACTATTGGTGACTCTTGCAGAGATAAGAAGTTATATAAGGGAGCAAAGGAACACAGAACAAGCTACGATGGGTGATCAGAATTAGCTTCTTAAGGATTTCGCTGCCCCAAATGCTCAAGGCACGCATTCAAGTATTACAAGGCCCACTGTTGAAGCTAATAATTTTGAGCTAAAACCATCACT